TTTAGCTTACATAACCTCAGAGATTACATAAGCAAAAAGGTACGTCAGAGCTCTGAAGTAAATTCGAATAAAATTTACTTTAGAGTTTCCATTCTTTATTTAGGTTTAAAATTTTTAAATTTCTTTTATTTATTTATACTCTTTTTTTTGAGTTTTTTTCATTTTTTTATTGTCATTTTTTTTTTTTAATTTTTTTTTTTTCTTTTCAATTTCTTTTATTTTTCAACTTCATTTACTTTTTTGTTTTTAAGTTAAACTAAATCTGATGACCACATTGAAGACATAAACCTTATTTATAAAACAAATGTGAAACATTTGAAATGAGTTCATGCACTTTTTGGGTGATTGTTTCTCCTGATATGCAAAAAAGCAAATTAAGTTGTATGTAAGGCAAAACTCATAAACTTCATAAAAATATTTTGGCATGAAGAGAATGACTTACAACTTACTTGAAACACGTAAAAATCGATTTCTAAATGCTAAATCATATATAAAATTAAATATACACATAAAACTATTTTGCAATGACTTCCAACCTTTCCTACCTCTTGCTCAATCATAAAGGGCCTAAAAAAGCTTCATTTCATAAAGGGCCTAAAAAAAGCCCTCACAATATGACGAGGTTGAAGGTTAAGCGTACTTTTTTCTTTAAGATTCTTACACTCTATCTGTAATTAGTAATATAGGCAGCGTCTAAATAGTTTCAAAACATTGATAAAACCACCCTTAGCACATACCATGACCCACTAAATCAATGTTATTATCGTTTACTGCAGTTAAAACTTTATGTTAGAACATATTTCTTGCATTTTACTGCAATTTTTTTAATTGGAGGAGTTTTCATTTGTTCTAACGTCTTTATTACTAGGTAAAGGTGAGTCAGATGATCTAAAGTTTAATGATCTAAATTCCTTTAAAAATAATTTATACATTTATTAAACTTAATTCTTGCACAATATGCAAAAAAGGAGGCACTACCCAGTTTGCACACTACGTTGGTCCAATTTTTTCTATCTTTCGACGTTGTTTCAACGTTGACCCAACGTAGTGCGCTAGCTGAGTACTTTATTTGAAGATATTATGAGAAAAATCACTGGATAAATTTATTATTATTATTATTAATTTGTTTCAAAATAAGTATGACTTTACAAATTACAATACCTATTAAAGTAATTATTGTCTTGTCAAGTTCATATTGAAGAGACAATCCTTTGTTTATCTTGTAAAAATCTAGTTTAAACTTATAAAAAAGACCTGGACTGCAAACTCTAATAAAAAAGAGTTGGACTGCAAACTCTTAAAGTCAAAGAATGTATACAAGGTAAAGCATTTTTCAAATAGCTGGGCTGCGGCGACCAGTGATATTTTTGTTCGGAAAATAATTACAGCTCCAGTTTTTTATAATTATTTTCCGAACAAAAATATCACTGGTCGCCGCAGCCCAGCTATTTGAAAAATGCTTTACCTTGTATACATTCTTTGACACTAAAAGTTTGCAGCCCAGCTCTTTTTTATTAGAGTTTGCAGTCCAGGTCTTTTTTATTAGTTTAAACTAGATTTTTATGTTAAAATAATTTTAGTTCATTTTTCGTTTGTCGTATAACAATTTTATCTCATCTAGTTTTAACAAAATATAATTTATAGATAATACTTTATAGATATTATAACAATTTATAGATAATATTTTATAGATATTATAACATTTTATAGATAATATAGGCCTTTATAATTAGAACAAGCACACACATTTTAATTGAACAGTTGGGCAAGGTTGAAACAAATAAAAACAATTAAAAATAAAAGTAAAATCGAAAAGAAAAGATGTTAAGGATATTAAAGTGAGCCTAAATTGTCACAAACATTTTATTGATGAAAAATTAAGACTCCAATTAGTGCCGGCTCGAGGAAGCGCGAGGCCCGACGCAAATTTAATTTGCGAGGCCTTCAATGAAAACCTATAAAAAAAGGGAGGGGTTGATGAGTGTACTAATGTACGAGGGTAAAATCGTGTTTTTATATATAATCGTCATTTAAATATAAAATATGTAAACATATATAAATAAAATATAATATATAAATACTCAATAGTGTCACTAATTATTATATTGAAAAAAAATATATGTTGTAATATGTTTTTCTCAAAAATCATATATTATGCACACTATTATTTTTATTTTGATTATTAAATCTTCTATAGAAAACTTAAAAAAAAATTTCCGCCTTTTTTCCGGGTCTTTTTAGAAAGCTAAAGATAGATATATAGCTCTTTATCTAGTTTTCCACAGAGCAATATGAGGCCCCTTTAGGCGCGAGGCCCCACACGGCCGCATTGCTTGCATACTGTCTGAGCCGGCCCTGACTGCAATTAATTCACAAGGTATATATTAATGTTAATTAATATAAATATTAATATTAATGACAAAAAAAACTATTCTACTGGGTATTTTATCAAACTCTTTTTTTATGAAAAAAAAATCTGTATTAAATTCATAAAAATTATTTCACTATCATACGCTATATCATACGTCGTCTGACGGTTTTAGATATATTTCAAATGAGTTAGATGCTGGTATAATTTCATTTCCAAGACTAAACCCAAAATTTGTAATGCATTTATTTAACTTCTTTGATATTTTATATCGACCAAATATAATACCTGACCTATTTGTATTAATTCTTTAAGGGGGCAAGTTTGGTTAAAGATTACTTAAAAATTTAAAAGTTTTTTAAATGCTTCGTTTGTACAAAAAGACTTTCTCTATATTTAATTTATGTGTTAGTTAGTTTATGCGTTAATTTATGCGTTAGTTTATTTGTATTAACTGTAACCTTTTTAAAGTTGAAAATTTTGGCAAAAGTTTTTAAATACCGAAATAGATCGGGAAAAGATCGTTTGTTCATTTTAAAAATGCCTGACTCAAATGAAATTTTGTAAATAATTATTTATAAGTGATGAATTATTCACCCTAGTTGGTATATTTATAACTGGCAAGACACTGTATTCAAAGTACTTATCAAAAAACAATTTTTTTTTTTGTAAAATTTAGCGCAATCAAATTTATATCACTGGTAAAATATAACTGCTTTTTTTTTAAAACATTTTCTTCAATGAAAGTTTTAAATAATGTGAATTTGTCTTCAGGTGCACGATATTCAATTATATTATTTTTATTTTTCTCATTAATTATTTCAATTAAAATACATTCATAGTTTTCATTTATTAAGCATAATTGTTTCTTTATCTTAAATATATATTTTTCAAATATGTTAGCACTTAATCCTCCACCTTTTTTATGAATACTCGGAGTTGGATAGATTTACTTTGTACGTTGGATTTAATTAAAATTCGATTCAATCAGCCGAACCTCTGACGGAAAATGACGTCAAACGTGTAATTTTGAATATCTAAATATTCTTTGAATTTTTCTTTGAAAGTTTTGACGCATGCTTTTTAAGTTTAAATGTATGAAAAAATAATATACCTTTTGATTTTGAATTTATAAGGATCAAAGTATGACGTTTTCATTAAAGTTATGTGAGGTTCTTTGAAAATATTACAATTCTTTTCAGACAAGTTAAGAACATCCTCAAACAGATCTAATTTGATAGTTTTCGCTATCAAAATGCGAAAGTCTTCGTTATGAAAATGCATTTTTAACAATTTTAAAAAATGAAAATAAAATAAAAGTTTAATTAAGTACTCATATAAAAATAACTATTTTGATTTTGTTTAAATTAACTACAGTACGCGTAAAACGAAACATGCAATCGAATTAACTACAGTACGCGTCAAACGAAACATGCAATCGAATTAACTACAGTACGCGTCAAACGAAACATGCAATCGAATTTAGTAATAAAAATAGGTGTATGAAAGTATGAAATTTTACACAATAATTAATATTTAACACATTTTAAAACAAGAAATAAAATACAATAAAATGGAAAATATTGTCTTTGTTTTTGTTTAAAACATGAAAAAAACATAAAGTAAATAAAATAAAAAATACATTATGTGTCAAACCAACAGCACACACAACATTTCAGCAGCACACACACCACTTCAGCAGCACACACACCATTTTAGCACCACACACACCATTTTAGCAGCACACACACCATTTTAGCAGCACACCCACCATTTTAGCAGCACACACCATTTTAGCAGGTTTTAGAGATTACTAGAATGTAGAAACGAACCTAATACTCAATCTTCTTACCTTTCTTCATAAAAATCTAAACACAACGCTTAGGCATGGAGGAAAACATCAGAATAAGTATTTATCATGAATAAAGGATTAATATTTTTTGGAATAGTATAACTTTGAACATAAAAATTAATTTTGAACATAAAAATTAAAAGATGATAAATATTTATTTGGTAGATATTCAGTCTATTTAACTTAGTAAATTAAGGTTGTCAGGGTGTAGAGCGGCTTTCATTGGATATAATTCTGATTGAATATTTTTGCATATTAAGGAGTTTTTTTGATTTATTTTTATTGGTACTATACCATACAATGTTAGCGTAATTAAGAAAGGAATGAATAAAAGAGAAAAATAAGAGTTTTAAACAACTTGAATTTAAAAAAGGTTTTACCCTATATAGAAGGTCTTTGCTCCTTGATATTTTACTTTCAATATATTTTATACAATCTCAATGTTACATTTTTGTCAAGGAGTACTCCTAGAAATTTTAATGATATTTCTCTTTTTTGCATTGTTAATACAAAGATTTTTTTACAGTTTTAAATAACATTTTTATATCATTGTGAGCATATAATAGATTAGTACCATCTGCAAACAAAATTGTGTCTAATACATTACAAGATTTTCTTAGATCATTGATATACTAGAAATAAGAGCGGTCCTAATATAGATCCTTGTTGTACTCCGCAAGATATATTCATAGTGTTAGTTTTTCTGCAATTATGTGAAATATATTGTTGTCTATTTGACAGGTAGCTTTTAAACCATTTAAGGTTTGAGTGTTTAATACCGTAGATGAGGACGAAGAATCATTAGATTGTTCATCACGACATGACGATCTCCTTTTCTTTACTTTAAAGGAAACAAAGGATTCATTATGCTCTAAAACAGATCAGATATAGATATCATTAAAAAATCCAGGAAAACAGTAATAAGGTTAAATAAATCTTTTGATTTTTTATGTTTTAATTTTTTTTTGAAAAAAAATAACTTATATAAACTTAAAGTCATACCTTTAAATGAAGAGATATCTTTTAAAGATGCTTTAATCTTAGAGCTGCTTAATTTAACAGGAGCAATTCTTCTTCTGAACTGTTTAAATCTTCAAAATTACTGCTCTGAACTACAAACTCAGAGCATGCACTAATCATGCGGGCCCCAATAGGGCATGCTCGCTGGGAATTGCCATATAGAGGTTACTTTACCATGGTCCGCATAGACTAGTTGAGCTCCTGAAGGGGCGTCATACCCGCTCTACGGACCGAGAGTAAGGTGAGTTTGGAAAGAACGAAGATATGAGTGAAAGATAGAAGTAGTCGAGTTAGAAAGATAGCATAGAGTAAGCAGACAGGATTGCGCACGATGTTAGAGGGTGCAATAAATACTGTTAGTTAGGTCACCTAACTAATGTAAGTTGTGATTGGAGTTCTCATTACATGAACTCTTCCTCAACTTTCTTTGTCGTTCAAGATGATTTCTTTTCTTTACTCAATGAGAACTTGTCTCTTACAAAATTATAACCACAATTTATACTAAATCATATACCTCAAATATTACCATTGCAACCCAAATAAACATATTTACAATTACACCTTAACCATATGAACACATAAGCAATTACATATAAAAGCGTCCAAACATATTAACAACAATTATCAAATATAAATGCACTTAATTTACAAATTACTTGACGTCACGTACGTTGACAAACACTGTAACATTAAACTTAATATAATTACAAAAAGCATAAAAGTTAAGACTGGAATATTTGTCACTGACATTTCAGACCACTTTCCAGTGTTTATAATGCGAAAAACTAATGATTCCCAACCGGAAATTTTTGCATTGCACCATTCCTTACAACAGGCTATGTACTGCGCCAGTATTGGCTTACCAATAGTTGGCCGGCCAGTGCTGGCGAAGTACTGATTAAAATGTAAGACATTACTGCGCCAGTGCTGAAAAATAGCACTGGACTAATACCATAATCCAGCGTTGGCACAATACCGATTTCCGAGCCTCGCGAAAAGAGTGTGCCAGAATTCAAGCACGTTTCTTTTACGATAATTAATTACTAAAAAAAGTATAATTCACCTTCACCATTCACTTTGAAAAATGCAGCAAATTCTTATTAAAAACTATCGTTAAATGTTCTGTTAAAAACAGGCCTATATTACTGGGTTTTTTCATCTTTGTCTTGGTAAATTTTGATTACCAGTCCGTATGTTGTTTAAAATTTCATAAATTATAAAACAAAATTTGCTATTATCACTTTTCTTTAGTTTACTGTTACTAAAGCTTTAGTAACAGTAAATTAAAGAAAAGTGATAATAGCAAAATTTGTTTTATAATTTATAAAATTTTAAACAACATACAGACTGATAAAGTTGCTATTAATAGCAACTTTAAAGTTAAGTTATTTTTATAATACCAGGGTATTATATTTTATATATAGTATAACGTATATATAGCCATTTTATACTATATATAATATATATATATATATATATATATATATATATATATATATATATATATATATATATATATATATATATATATATATAATATAAAATTTAATATGCTGTCTTTATAAGGTATTTCATTAATATGAATCATCTGGCAAGTACTACTCATGTTGTAGTTAAGTTCCTTGAAAAAGCATGGAAAGGAATGTATTGATATCATTCCTATTTTATCATGTACTAGAAAATATGAGTAAAATGTCATTGATACCAGGAGTTTTGTAGAAAAGTTTTGAAATTGTTTTAATTAAAGAAGCAAGTATGTAATGAAACTCTTTATTAATCAGTTTTAAATGCATTATAACTTTAATATTGTCATATATAAAGTTATTTATTTACATTATAGAAAGCTATGAACAAGGATTGCGACATATGGGTTTGTCTAAGTGGGCCCAATGTAAGCTTTATATATGGGCCCTAAAATGGGCCCCATGTGAGCATGTCCTTGAATACAACGTATTTTGTATTCAAGGGCTAGCCCACATCGGGCGCATTAAGGGGGCCCATATATGTAGTTAAAACAGCGTCATTAAAAAAATTTACCGCTTAACTCAACTTAGCCGCATGTTTATTTAAAAAAAAAAGCAGTAAAAGAGTTTTAAATTGTATTTAAAAATTATTTTTTTAAACATTAAAGAGAACTTAAATAAAAAAGTTACAAAAGTCTGTTTTAAAAGGCAGAAAATTTTTTTTTTTTGTATGATGTATAAAAAAGTTTTTGAAAATGTATACGCTATTTAAGTTTTTATAAACCCACAAGCAAAACTGCATATAAAATGAGACGTCGTGAAGAGGACTATCACTATCAAGCATTTAAAGTTTAACTATCAAGCATTTAAAGTTTGAGGTAACTCATTTATATTTGGCTATTGCTTTTAATTCTTAATATATTTACTACTTAACAATGTATTTTTAATGTTTAATACTGTTTACCTTTCTCTTTGAAGATTTGATTTCCTCTTTCTCTTCTATAAAGCCAGACCTAAGTCATGTATTTATATCAACTTATTTACATCTAATTTTAAAATTAAATAAATGATTACTCAAAATACAATAAAAAATTTAATAAAAAAGTGGGACTCATGTGGGTCCGACACGAGTAGCCCATATGGGGCCCAGTTGTCCACTTGGGCCCCATGTGGGGCCCAATATGACTTTGTGGCTGGGCTAGCTGGAGGAGGTTAAACCACAATACCAGAAATCACCTTGAACGACAAAGAAAGTTGAGGAAGAGTTTATATTAAGTGAACTCCAATCAAGTCTTTGTCGGCGTACATTAGTTAGTTGAACCTAGCTAACAGTACGTTTTAGCACCATCTAACATCGGGTGCAATTCTGTTCGCTTTCTCTATACTACCTTTCTAACTCGACTACTTCTGTCTTTCACTCTAACATATCTTTGTTCTTCCTAATCTCACCTTACTCTTGGTACGTAGAGAGGATTATGACGCTCCTTGGGGAGCTGAACTTGTCTTTGTGGGCCTTGATAATGTGGCCTCTGTATGGCAACTAGCCGGAGGAGGATAAACCACAATACCAGAAATCATCTTGACTTAATGTTTTACTTTTGAGAGAAAACTACATTTTTGAAATTGTTAATTATGATTTTATCAGTTAATGTAGCACAATTTTTTGTTATGCGTGTTGGTTTGTTAATAGTTGAATTGAAATCATTTTAAAATTTAATATTGGTATAATTTCTGACGCTTTTATTTTTTTCATAATCGAGCAAGTCTAAATTGAGATCGCTCACAAAATAAATTAGTTTGCCACAAGTATGATTTTTTGGAATTAAACATTTGAAGTATTTGTTAAATGCTTTTACCTGAAGGCGGTCTATATATGACGCGTAAAACTACGTTTTTGCTGGTGTTGTTTAACACCTCAATGGTTAATATTAAAAATTTTAAAAATAATCATCATTATATAAAAAACATTATGAAAAATAATTTTTTTTTGTAAAAATGCATATTTTTAGATTTTAGTTTAAAAATGTCATTTTCAAGGTATGGAAATCTAAAATAATAATTTTTTAAATGAATGAAAGAAAAATATAAACTTTTTAAAGATTTATTGTTTAGAAATGGTTTAGCCCTACATATCATGGCAATTTTTTTAAATATTTTTTTCTCAATACTTTTTATATGTTCACTCCAACGTAAATGTTCATTTAATATTACGCCCAAAAAGTTTACTGAAGTTTCTCTTTTAATGTTAACGTTATTGATCATTAAATTCGGCAGTTTAATGGGAATATTTTCTAATTTATTTACTTTATGGGATAAAATAAATTTGGTTTTATTTGATTTAGAGAGAGTGTATTACTTATAAACCACTCATTAACTTTACTCAACTGTTCGTTAGCTGTTTCAAAAGTTTAATACCTCTGTGGTAATAAAAAATGGGGTCATCTGAAAAAGAATAAAATTTAATGTCTGTTGCTAAATTTATACCATTTATATACACTAGGTATAATTACGGTCCAAATATAGAGCCCTGGGTTCAAATATAGAGTCCCAGCCACAACTTACAGCATATGGAATTGTTTGTTTTTGCTCATACGTGGCTGGATAGCTCTGTTGGTTAGAGAGTCAAACAAAAAGTTTAAACCCAGACTGTTGTACGATACGAGTTTAAACCATGCCACCGCCAACGCTTGAGTAGTATTTCGGTACATAAAAATGTTTTAATAATGGACGCTTCTTTGGATAATGACTGTTTGTGGTTGTTCCTATGCTAAGCCAACAACATCTTCTGATATAAGGACATTGAATAGAAAAATATAGCATGAAAATTCAAATAAAAAGAAAAAAAAAAAAATTAATAATAAAAAAAATTAAAAATTGTATAAATTGCTTTCTATTGGTCAAATAACTTTTGAACTAGAGTAAGTTATTATTTTTTACTCCATAATATTCAAGTTTTTTATTAGTAAATTGTGATTTACAAAACCAAAAGCCTTAGACAGGTCAATGAAAACTCCTATTTTAAAGTAGTTAGTACATGATGCGTTTTTTTATTTGATTGGCTATTTCAACCACTGCATGTTCAGTTTAACATTTTTTTTTTAAACCAAGCTGTTTTGAATACAACATATTGTTTTCTGATAAATAATTAAATAACCTGTTTACAATATTCTTTTAAGCAGTTTCAAAAAACCCGGAAAGATAGATTTCGATCTATAATTAGAAATAATAGAGTCATCGCCCGTCTTTAAAAAAAAACCGGCGCGATTAGTGCAATTTGTAGTTTTACTGGAACAATACCTGTTTCAAAAGAAAGATTAAAGATGCGAAGAAAAAGAGGTTCGATTATATCATAAACAGATTTTACAACATTAAAGTTAAATTTCTCAAATCTTTGTTAGTTTTAAGATTATTAGTATTAAGATTAGGTTCATCCATAACTTTATCATAATTTTATCATAATTTTATCGTAACTTTATCGTAACATTATCGTAACATTATCGTAACATTATCGTAACTTTATCGAACTTTATCGTAACTTTATCGTAGTTTTTTAAATTGTATAGTTTTTATCTGTCATTTCGTTTTTATAAGTTTTTTTTAATATTTATTATATCATTTTTTTTTTTTTTTTTTTTTTGTGTGTGTTGAAACTGC